CCTGTCCGTAGTTTTCTCCCAAAGACTTCCTGGCAGTTAAGGAGGAGAGGAGGGGACTGGGTCGGTCCCATGGTGCCCTCACAGAAGGGGCCTAGAGATGGTTGCCCCTCCCAGACCACATCCTGCCCTGGCACCCTCCCCGCCCACTCTGGCCCCACCGCAGTCTTGGGACTAATCTCCCCCTTCTCCTGCCCAGCACAGCACTCCCTCTCCGCCACCCTGGCCTCCCCACCTCCTCAGCTGCCTCAGTGCCTGGCAGCCTGGGTTGACTCACTTCCAGCTGCATTCTCCTTCCGGTTAGGCCAGTTTGGTAAATCTCTTAGGCTCCCTAGCCCCCTTGGCTCTAGAACCTGTGGGTCCCCCTCACCCAGGGCCCCTGACATCCTCCCACCCCACATGGGGCAGAGCAGATGCCTGGAGGAATGTACAGGCCTTTTGGAGGTGACATTACATATCACATGGCAGATTTCTCCCCTCCCTAAATCTAGGGTGGGGTCTCTGCTATAGGCCCAGGAGCCTCTTTCCAGAAATAATCTCAGCCTCATCCTGTCTCCTGGAACCAGCTAAACACAGGATCCTGCTGTTCTGTACTCTCTGGGGCAGGAACTTCACTCTGACCCTGGGTGCTTCTAGGCTGGTCAGATGAGGAGGATTAGATAATCAGCCCTCCCCTCCACCCCACCTCCCAATCTCCAAGGAGAAAAGAAAAGGGGAAGGAGTGTGGCCTGGGCCACCCTGGGATGGTCAGTCTGTCTCCAGGCCCTCCCAGCTCCCTTGCTCTGACTGCCAGAGTGACTGAGGACCCCAGACACGACCTGCCCCACTGCCCCAGGGGCCAGCTCCAGGGGTTCAGTAGGAGGTCACAGGGAAGGAGTACTGACCTCTGCCTGGGGAAAGCTCCCCCAGATACGGCTGGTTCTCAAAGAGGACAGAGTCCCTTCACATGAGCTGATCCCCCCAGGACTTCTGCCACTAGCCCCAGCAGAACACCTGGGATGAGAAAAGGCCCTGCTATTCTCCGAGACAGACAACCAGGTCTAGCAGGAAGGTAAAGAAGGCGGGAAGGTTTAGAGCAGGCCTGCAGGTTCTGGGAACCCCGTCGGGGTGCGTACCCTCTCCTGCCTGCCTCTAAGGTCCCAGGTGGCTGCCTTCTCCCCACGGGGACTGGGCTCTGTTGTGCCAGGCCACTTCCTTCCAGGGAAGGAAGATCCACCACCTCCTCACCAAGGCCAGGCCCAGAGGGGCTCATGGGAAGGGAGGGCCACCTTCTGTGTCACCCAGTGGGTGTGATGGTTCTGAGGCTGCCTGTCCATCCCAGGAGGTAGAATTTAGACGGTGAGGGCAGTGGCCATCTCCTGACCCAAGCTGGGACACAAGAACTCTAAAACTGGAGGGAAGGAAGGCCCACCTTCCCAAGGGGAAAGGGCTTTTTGGTGAGAGGAGAGCGGAAGAGGAAGAAAGAGGGTCTTGACCCACCCATTTCCCCAGACCTGTTTCTTGCTCCTACACCCCCCATGACCCTAGAGGAATTCAAGACCAGTGAAAGGGAGCCTGCAAAGTCATTTCTGCATGACTCTAGAGTCACCAGCTGTGTGATCCTGCTCCTTGACACCCCCTCCACTCCCGACAACAGTCTTCGGGGGGCCTTCCCCCATCCTGGTTTCTTCTAAGTGGCTGAGTCCAACCCACCCCTCTACCAGGCTTGCTGCTCCCCTACCTCCAGGCATCCAAAAAGGAGCACAAGATCCAAGCACTTCTGCAAATATGTTTAATGCACTTAGATTACACAGAGGAAGAGGGAGCAAGAAGGAAAAGACATCTAAGTGAGTCACCCAAAAATTCTTACAAAAGTCCCAGGCTGGCTGCAGCCCCCAGGAACCGAGTCGCAGTCGACATTAGAAACTAATATAAAATTTTACAAAAGTCTGCTCATTGCAGCATTCAGGTACTTGTACAAAAGGAGGGCTCTCTCTACAGGGCTCCTGACTTGTAACAGGGACCCAGGCACCTTACCTGGCACGGAGGACCTGGAAGCCAGAGAGGAAAGACAACTGGATAAAAAAATACAGTCAAGGGAGTTCTCTACTGGTCTGCCCCATAGGGGCACCAACCTTCGGGGTTTTTTTCCCTGCTCTCAACTCAGTCTCAAAACCCAGCCCCAAGACCCTGTGTGCATTTTTAAAAATACTCTAGCCCTTTAGACTCTCCCCAAGGCTTCCTAGTCCCTGCCCCGAAGCCTTGCCTTTGGAAGAGGAAGAGAAGGGGAGGAAGAGGGACCAGCTCCCTGGCCAGACCTGAGACCTTGCATGAGCCACTCCACCCCCGCAGAATGACAGCTGGGGCTGTAGCCCACCTGCAGCCCACACAGGACCTGAAGAGTCCCAGAGTCTGCCATGTGTACGTACGGGGGCGCCCCGTCCTCTCAGAAGCTTGAGCCACAGGGACCTGGTGGGAGGGGGTGGGACTGGGCAAGCCACAAGGAAGCCACGAGGAAGAGGCAGATTTAGGAGGGAGGCTTCTTACCTCCCTGACTCACTATGTCAGGGCTCCCGAAGCGCTGCAGGGAGGGAAGGAAGCGGTACATTTAGTGAGTACCCACTGTATGCCAAGTGCTATGCCAGGCACGCTACGGGGTTGGCCTCACTTGGTCCTCAGTGAGGGTCCCCTCTCACCAGCCAGAAGCTCAGTGGAGAGCCCCCTCCCAGAGAAACCTCTGGAAGGCCTGGTCAGAGATGGTGCACGCCCTGCTACTCCTCTGGAGCCAATGCACTGTAGGGAAAGGAGAGGGAGGCCTTGGAGGTTGCTGGCATCATGGGGCCACAGGCTTCATGGGCTCACTGTCTCAGAGCTCACCGGCTTCCCGCCTGCCTCCCATACTGACGACAAAGCTTAGCTCAGAAAATACCTTCCTCCCCATCAGCCAAAGCAGACAGGCAGAGGCAGGTCCCCAAAAAGAAAGAATTTGTGGAGAGGTGGGCCAGGGTGGCACGGAAAGGAGACAAACTAATGACACGTCTCTGGCCATGAAACATTAGATGACAAGAGCTTCAAAGGCAGAGGTACTGTGGTGGGCAGCGGCTAGAAAATGTCCTTTTGGAAAAGTCCTTGGAGCAGAAGGCACAGCTGCGGCCAACATCAGGTCCAGAGGAGCTTCCATCTTCGCTGGTGGAGGCCTGGATCCTCTCTCTCCCAGTCTCCCAGGCTGATCCACCTTGGAGCTCTGAGTTTGATGTTGTTAATTGGGTAGCCCTGAGGGTGTGTGCAGAGAAGCGGCCAGGGCCTAGCGGCCCCTTGGAAGTCCAAATCTTGCTCCCTGGAGAGCCTGGCCCCTGCCCTCATGACCCCTGGAGGCAGCTCTTTGGCTGAGTCTCTCATCAGCGGCGTCCTGCACCCCATGGGCCACCTGTGGCACTGCTGTAGTGGCCTGTGTGTGTGGCGGGTGCAGACGGGGCAGTGCATGGCCCTACGAGGCCCATGACAGACCAAAGGACTTTGCTTTGGAAAGGCCTGAAATAGCAGTCCTTAGAGTCAGGGGTGAGAGGGCATGAAGGGGCTTGTTGATTCCAGGCAGAAGTGGGAGACAACCCAAAAGGAACCCCAAATCCATGGGCCAGAGATAGGTCTATTTCTAGGAGGAAGACCATGAGATCTGCAGTAGTGGGGCAAGGGACTAGGAGAGCCCGGGATGCAGGAAAAGAGGCATGGGGAGCGACATGGAGCACGGGCATGGGGAGCGACACGGAGCACGGGCATGGGGAGCCACACGGAGCACGGGCATGGGGAGCCACACGGAGCACGGGCATGGGGAGCGACATGGAGCACGGGCATGGGGAGCGACACGGAGCACGGGCATGGGGAGCCACACGGAGCACGAGCCACACGGAGCACGGGCATGGGGAGCCACACGGAGCACGGGCATGGGGAGCCACACGGAGCACGGGGATGAAGGACAGGAAGCGAGCGGCCACAGAGGATGAGGGCGGCAGGGTGCAGTGTTTGCAAAATCAGAGTGAAGGACATGGCGAGAGGTTGGTTTTTCCACTTTTAATATGCCAGAGTCCTGCAGCCTGGAGGTTGGGAGGCCCAGGGGAGGAGGAAATGGGACAGGAGTGGTCAAAGAGCTGCAGACCTAGGCCCTGAGTGGCAGGTGGGGATGGTCTACGAGGTGCTGGGCCTCACCCTCTCTCAGGCAGGCCTGGTCGGGTGGACAAGACCCAGAAGAGGAGGCCAGGGCTAGCAAGTCTCTGAGACCCTGGTGGTCCTGGAACTTTGCCAGGGGCCTAGTCCGCTGGAGAACCAGCGGCACCTTCTCCTGGCCCCAGCTGGCTAAACGGGCCGAAGGCTGTATGGGGCAGCAGCTCAGCTCTCCCCCTGCCCCAAGCTCCACCAGGCCCCGCTGGGAAGAAATCAGCCTCTCTGTGAAGCTGGCTCCTCCGGGGTCCTGGGCTGGCAGGCGAACCGAACCCCGGCACCTTCTCTGGTGGTGGCTCAGGGGGAGACAGCCCCAGGCCCTCGTCTGAGAGGATGAGAAAGTTCATCTGGGAATAAAGTTCTGTTTAAAAAACATTATATACATGGCTTCTGGACATCTTTGAAGACCAATAAAATACCATCCGGTTTCGACAAAATAAAATAAGGAGGAAGAAAACCAAACACGATTGGAGGAATTGTTCCGTGGCCGGAGGACCTGGCCTAGCAAAGGCTTCCCACCGCAGAGCTGGGCCGTGCGCACCCCGGCCATTCCACTCTCTCCTGCTGGACGGCCCGCGGCAGGGGAGAGGTGACAATGAGGCCGGTCTCCACCTAAGGGCACAACATCGAAGGTCCAGAGTCACATCCCCAATCACGACCTGCGGCAGCAGCAGGAGGGGAAGGTTTGCATTTACCCGCTCCCAGCCCCCGGGGGGGGGCGGGGGGGGGGGCTTGGGGTGTTGGGAATTTCTGCCGGCTGGCGGGGGGCGGGAGGTGGCCCCTGAGCTGCAGGGGAGGCGGTGCCATGGCTGCACAGCCCTCCTCACGCGTGTCCTTTTATTTGTGGCGTTCGCGTGTCCGCAGTTGGTACTCTGGAAGTCACCGGGGAGCAGCTGGGCTCTCCCTTGGCCCCTGCAGGGCCTAGCCCAGGCTAGTGCAGTGGACTGTCGAACACCACGTCGGGAAGGATGGAGACTTTGAGCTTCTTTTCCGGCCAGCTGTACTCTTTGGGAAGTTTGAACTGCGGAGGGAGCAAGCACAGAGCCAGAGTGCACACAGTTAGCGCCACTCCCGGCCTTCTGTCCCGACTGCCTACAGAGAGCCCAGGGCCCTCACCCGCGCCTGTCCCCCAGGTGCTGGGGGCAAGAGAGGCCACCAGTTGCCTGGCTTCAATCGCAAATGCTATTCCCAGGTGGGTGGCTGAGGTTAAGCTGCTGGAGTTCGGTGACCCCTTCTTTCCCCTTGCCCTGCCAATAATTAACTGGGGCTGGAGGAGGCATGTTTTCTAACTCTTTCTTGACTGTGCTGACCTCCCTCCAGCTCACTTCCTTGGTTCTGCCTCCGGCCACAAGCATGTAAGGAATCTGCTCCCTGAGGCCCTGGGGCTGGGGGGTGGGGGCAGGGTGGGAGGGTGCAGATGCTTCAGGGAAGTGGCTTGAGGTCTGGAACTCTGTGGTCGTGTCCGTGCCATGGCTTCTCTTGCAGGGGCTGGTGCAGAAGGACCCCAGAACCCGCCCTCTGTGGCCTTTGCCAAAGGGTCCAAAGGGAAGGAGGCCCTGGCTTGGCCTCAGTGGGAAGAGAGGAGCAGGACAAGCGTGGCTGGAGGTGATTTCTTGGGCCTGGCGCAGCCCCATCCTGCTCCCCTTTGTTCAAGCTCGTCTGTTTCTCAGGGCTACCACCCTGAGCATGGTGCCAGTGGTGGCCAAGGAGAGCCCAGGCTCTTCCTACCGGAGTCCAGGGATCAAGGATTTGCTGACAGTTCTGTGTCTAGGGCTTCTGTCTGGGGTGGGGCAAAGAGGCTGATGGATCTTACTTCCTCTGGCCCACAGCTGGTGCGCTCACTAGATGCTCACTGACTTGAAAACAGGGTCTGCCTTTTATGACTCCTACTGTCCTGGGGCTAGGTGAGAAGTCAGGCCAGGCTGGAAAGGAGGAAAGAACAGGGCCCTCGGCCTGCCTGGAGCTGGGGCTGGAAGTGGCTGGCCCTGTCTCCCTCCCTCTGATGGGGGACTTGTCCAAGCCAGGACCAAAGTGGAGAGTGGAGCTGGCTGTGGGGACAGCCTCTGGACAGAGAACCAAAAAAAAAAAAAAAAGTCATTTTTAGTGACCTACTTTCCTGAGCTCCCCCTGGCTCCTGTCCCTCCTGCCTGGACTGTCCCCCTCCCACCTCCTCAACACCCAGGCTCAAAGCTGCAGTCTGGCACGGCACCACCCCGTGCGATGAGCACCGCCCTGTGCGACGCGGTCTCTCCGGAAGCGCTTCTGGGTAGTTGGCGCTGGGCTGACTCAATAGGAGCCAGGCCTCAGGGACCAGTGACTCGTGGGGGTTGACTGGCTGGCACACACCAGGGACGGGTGGCTTTGGAATGTGTAAATGAGTTAATTTCTCAAGCCACATCCCAGAGGACAGAGGTGACCTCAGGCTCTGAGGAGTTGCTGTCCACCTGGAGACCTGGACAGGACAGGCTCACCCTGTGGGCTCTCTTCCACCTAGTGAGTGACGGAGGCCACCATGTCCTGGCTGATGCGGCCCTGGAAGCCCCGGCAGCTGTTCGCCCCAGGCCTGGCTGGAAGCTAGCTCCTATGTGGCTTCCCTCTGGCTTGAAAGGCTGGCGCCTCGGAGCCGAAGGAGCTCTCCCCCAAACACGCTTCCTGGCAGAAGGGGCAATGGAAGGGTCTGTCCGTCTCTGCCACAGGCAGGGGAGGGCCCGGAAGAGCTCTCCAGAGGCCTGACTAGGTTGCTAATGTTCCACTAACCTGTGGGGCATTGAGGCCAGCAAGGCTCAGATCCCACTGGGGTGCTGCTTAGTAGGAGGCCGGGGGAGGGGAAGGGACTTTCCAGGATGAGGTAAGTCCCTTCAAATGAGGATGCCAGGAACAAGGAAGAAAAACAAAGGGGATTATGGGCTCCATTCCTGTACCCCAGATGAGCAGCCAAGAAAGGCACAAGCTCCCACCTGGCCGGCCAGGGTCTCGGGCTGGAAGGGGCAGATCAAGAGGGGAGAGCTCCTGGCTGCAGAAGCGAGGAAGGAGACCGGCTCCTGGGTGGCCTGAGGCAAGAGCAGGAGTCCCTCACTGCCACCAGAACTCCCCAGTGGAATATTCTCTGGCAGCGGGCGTGGGCTTTCTGTTCGGAACCTGCCAGGGAACAGCAGGGCCTGGGGAAGAACTACTAGCCCGAAGGCCCTGGCTGCCCCTGCAGTGAGCTTCTCGGGAGCTGCCAATTCAGACAACTGGCTGGGTGTCCTTATGATGGCTGGGGTGGGGGGGCCAGAGATCAAGCTGCTTCACATCTGCAGGGGCTCCTCTCCAGCCCATCCCCACACCTCGGAGACTGACAGACCGAAAGACACACATGGGCTCCTGGAGACTGGAAGCCGCTGTTAGAATGAAACAGGCTTACTTCCTCTGGAGAAGTCAAATCTTCTAAGTCCTCCAACATTTTCTCTACAAACTCTTCAGTCAACAGAATCTGGGAAGAAGGCACAAGACGAGCGTTTATTATTATTTTTTAATATATGGTCTTTTTGCCAACTGCCAAGCCATGGATCTTTCTTCTGGCCATGGAGGAGCTGTGAGCCTGTTCTAGGGACAGATGGAAGTGCTGGAAGCCTATCTCAGACCAGCGTTCTTCCCCACCCCTCCAACCTGCCTGCAATCCCGCAGGGACCAGGGCAGGGAAGGAAAGGTGTCAGAGGACGATGGGGAAACAAGGCGGGGATATCTGGAAAGAATGAAGTGCTGGTCCCCAGAAGGGATACGGGCCGGGCAGTCTGGGCCTCCTGCGCGCTGTAGTGCAGTAGAGGGGCAGGGAGAAGCGGGCGGCTGGGTGAGAGCAATCGCCAACATGCCCCGTGCCCAGCCGGGCTCCCAAGTTCCCCCCCACTCCCGACTTGGTAGGACAAAAGGAATCTGTTTGGATTTGGAATACAGGCCTTGTCTGGAATCTGGAAATGCCCCAGAAGGTACATCCAAGAATGTCTGAGCTGGAGAATTTGGAGACTGTGCACCACCCTCTCTCATTTTACAGATGGAAAGGGGGCTCTCAAGTCCCCTTTCCATCCGCAGTATCCACAGTTTCTCAAGCCGAAAGCTCCCAAACCCTTGCCCTGCTGACCTCATTCAGCCACTTAGTTCTTCACAACTTCCTCTGAGAAACCTCTTCTCCAGATCACCTCCTGGCTGTCCCACTTCGCTGTTCTAGTCTGATGCCTTGTCACTTCATGCTTTGATGTCTAGGACAGCCTGGCCCCGCTATTCAGCTGGCACAAGCCCTACCTTCACAGGCCTTCCTCAACCTGATGGGCCATTTTCCCAACTGGCTCCTCTGCTCAGGCTCGCTCTGCGGAGTCAGGACAAGCTCACACCAGGCCTGCACCACACCGGGCCCACGCTGAGGGTGTCTTTCCTCTTCCCAATCTGACCCGTTTCCTCCACCCTTCTCCCCGTGCTGACCCATGGGGCTTCCTGGCCTCGGCACCAGACCCTTCTATACCCTCCAGGCTGTGACTCCACCTGCCTCTGCTTTGCCTCCTCCAGCAAACTTTGAATGCCCCGGGGGAGGCACAGAGGAAGACAGACAATGGGGTGAAGACCAAGGTGAATGACTCTGCTGAGGGAAGGATGGGGATGAAGAACTTGAGAAAATAGGGGCACCTGGGTGGCTCAGTCGTTAAGCGTCTGCCTTCGGCTCAGGCCATGATCCCAGGATCCTGGGATCGAGCCCCATGTCACTTCATGCTTTGATGTCTAGGACAGCCTCTCTCGCTCCCCCTGCTTGTGTTCCCTCTCTTGCTGTGTCCCTCTCTGTCAAATAAATAAATAAAATCTTTAAAAAAAAAAAACTTGAGAAAATACTCCTCAGGTTTCCCCTGGGAGTTGTCCACTCCGATAAGTGGAGTGAGTGTGTGTGTGTGTGTGTGTGTGTGTGTGTGTATGTATATATATATATACACATATATCTAGAATATATATATATATATATATATATATCTGGAATACAGTCAGCTTGTGAAATGAAGTGAAATGGCACGGGAGAGCAGAAGAGCAGCAAGTAGGGTCGCTGGGGACCACATGGGATGGAGGACTCCAAAGGAAGGAAGTCGATGGGGTGGAGGCAGGAGCAAGGAATGAGAAGCCTGGGTGAGCAAACCACCACCATACCAACCAGGCCCTGTGCTGACTGCTCGTGTATCTTATCTCCTTGAGTCTCCTCCGAGATGAAGAAACTGAGGCACAGACAGGTTATGTAATATGCCCAGTGTCACATGGCTTGTGAGCGGCTGAGATAAGACCATATCCCAGACCTATCTAGACTTTAGAGTAGTGCCTGAAGTGCAGCCTCCACACCCAGGGCTCTTCCCGCCACGGCACTGACGCCTTTATTCACTCTTCTGCTCATCTGCCCACCGATCTACCCAATTCCACGGCATTCCCTTAGGTGCCTCTGCTAGGCCCGGCCTGGGTGGGGCCCCAGGGACACAGGCATGAAAGCGGTCCACGCTCTACCTGGACACGCACCCTCTCTTGGTTGACAGGGAGCCAAAGGACGTCTCCTTCCCAGGCTGCAAGCCCGCAGCCAGCAGCAAAATAGCTCTGACCACTGGCCCCTATTTCACCCAGGTTTTTTTGTTTGAGGAGCTCAGGCCTCCAGTGAGGACAGAGACAAGATTTAGACAGGCAAAGTCAGTCCAGGGAAATGGCCACCCGAGGCGGCCCCCTCCCGCCCCCATTCTTCCTCCAAGTGCCCCAGGTGGGACTGGTGATCCTTCTCCCAGACTCCAATGACTCTGTCCATCGTACCCCAGTCTTCCCACTGCCAGGGCCCCCCCTCCGCCCACAGTCCGAAGTTTCCCTACCAGTTATCACCAGTTGGCTTGAGTAGCACAAAAGTCACATTCATGTTTTTGGCATTTCCGGGGCTTGTTGCCATCTCTGCAAATGCTAGCGCAAACACAAGCATACCTAAAACCCAATTATATCACAATGGCTCCAGTCCGGGCCAGGCTGCGCTGATTTCCAACCCACAAATAATTCAGAGGGAGGGACTCTCTGCCAGGAAGGTAAATAGGCCTGGGACTATAGCGCCGGGGCTGAGGTGGAGGGGAGGGTTCACAGGGACTGCGACCACCCAGTGAGACACCGAAGCGCTGTTTTTCAACAAGGGGCAAGACAACCCCACTAATGCTGAGCTCAGCCCCAAGCCAGTTCCTCTGACAAAGGTCTGGGATAGGTGGTGGAGACAGGGTGCTTTATGGTGACTGTCAGCAGAACCGCACCAAGCTAGCGTGCCATCTGGGTGTGGACTTGTTTTATACTCAGCTGGGGGAGGGGATGGCAAGACCAGAAAAGGGGACAAACCCTGGTGGCGCCTCAATTTTCACTTCTGGTGATTTGCTGGTTCCTGCTGGAAACTTCACATTATTTTAAAAGAATTAAACAGAGAAAATTATACACAAGATCTGATGATATTAAGGGTGACATTCCCCGCAAAGAAACACGACAGACTGTCATAGCTCCAGGCGTCTAATTTAATTTCCTTTGGGAGTTAAACCTTAGAAGCTTGGATTGAACAAACAGTGGCCCTGTTCTTTGTATATTTCAGACCTGGAGCTGAGAATGTGAACAGATCTTATCAACAGGACACTGGAGATAGACAACTGTGACGGAGCGGCTCCTGGGCGCTCTCCTGAGCAACAGACACGCCGTTGTGATGCAACTGTGGGAAAAGCCGGTGCAGTCTGGGACTTGAGGCGCTGGAAGCTCACTGGGTCCCCATGGGGCTGCCTGGCTCTGCCACAAATAATGACAGGAGGGTTACGATGCCAGAAGTAACGGTGACACCACCTCCAGCTGAAGTAGCGCCTCCTCCAGGTGCCGCGCGCTGGGCTAAGGGCTTGAGCGGTACCATTTCACTGAGCCCTCCTGGCGGGCCTGCAGAGGAGGTAACTATCACCCCCATTTTGCAGACGAGCAGGTGTTGAGAGGAGATAAGGCTCCTGGACTTTAGAACAGTGATCTGACCTCACTGTGGTAGAGGATACACTTTTCCTCGGGTCTGGGGAAAACACCCCAATTCTAGAAGCCTTGTATACTCAGGGCTAACTCTTCTCTGATGGGGGAGGTGAAGGTGACTTTGGCTTCTACGAATGGCCTGGAAGACCAGCCATATTAACCCCCACCAGCCACACATTTTTCCTCAAGAGGAACAACTCTGCTCAGCTTAAGAGGGCTGGAACCCTGAGCATCACAGACACCCAGCAGCTCAAAAACCAAGATGGCCAATTGGAAAGGAAGGCAAACCATGCCCAAAGATGGTGTCCAAGTGGGAACAGTGAGGCACATGCCCAGGCCAGCTTAGTGAACGCATACATAAGGCAACAGTTACTCTAGCCCAGAAAACAGCAACAGAAATAACTAATAATATGGAAAATGGCAAGTGCACTCAGTAATGTCTGCACTCACCAAGAGCTGGGCATCAAACGCTTATGTTTGTGCACAAGAAGCCCTTGGAGGGAGGAGGCTCTCTAGTGAGCAGCTAACTCCCCTGGGAAGCTTTTGAAACTATGGAGATGCCATCCAGACCTTCTGAATCCGAGTACCCCGGCAAGGCCAAGGTGTCTGCATTTTTGAGGCATCCCAAGAGACCATGGGGTGGGGAACACTCAGGCTCACACAGGAGGATGCGGTTTGGGCACAGGCTTAACCAACAGGGGTGAGTCGGTGGCTGCAGCTTCACCACCATCGAACTGGCCAAGCTGTGAGGGGAACAGTGGCCCCCTGCTCCCCACCCCTAACCTCCACTCTTGGTCAGAGGGGGACTTGGAATCCAGACCAGCAACCTCTTCCAAGCTGCTCACACCAGGTGCCTTAGGGACAACCTGGTTGGTGGGTGATTGGGGGGGGGGTTGTCAACAATCTCCCAATTCCCCAGGCCCCAGTAGGTTCCGGAAGGAACCCGAAAAGTGATCTTTCAGGATGCCTGCCCTGGCAGGCTCTGCTGTGCTGAGGGCAGGAGCCTGCTGCGGATCTGACTCCAATGTCTGTGGTCGGTGCTATTTCTGACTCTGCAAACGGCGCTAACAATGCCCCCTCCTCCCCCTCGATATGACAATCCACACTTGGTCCAGGGCCCTGTTTGCCCTTCGTGTTGACACGTTGTTCTTGCTTCCCGACAAGTCTGGCTTTCTTTTTCCTTCTCTTTCCTTCTTTCAGAGGCGGAAATCTGTTGTTTATAGGGTGGGGCCCGCCAAGGGGCTGCTCTGGTGCCCGCGATGGCCAAGGAGGGGGCAGGACGTGGATGCAGTCTGGTCTGTGCCCCCCCCGCCGTGAGCCCCCCAACTCCAACAGGCCAGACGAAAGCCAGAAAACAGCTTGGAGACCCCCCAGGCTTGGGGGCAGAGGTGTGCGGGGCACACACTCATTTCCTGTTCTCAATGGCTGGTGAGAAGTTGGCTTTGGTGGCCAGGAGCAGGCTCAGACTCCTCCTGCTCTGGTTGCTGGCTGGTGAGGGCACAGCGGGCCACCATGGTCTTCTCCCCAGGCACATTGGGGGGATTTAAACCCTAACTGGGTGCACCCCTGGACAGTGAGGCCCCGTGACAGCCCAAGCGCAGGTCTCTGGGGAGAACAGTTGTGGCCAGCACCCACAGTGCACTGCAGAGGGACTGCTCAGGGCCTGGGCCCAGAACTGCCAAGTGTCTTCCACACAACATCCAAATGGGCGGATGGGGACAGGAGAAGGCGGGGACTTGTCCAGAGGACAGTGGTGAGTCAGCCACTGGGCTAGGATGAGAGCCCAGCAGTGATTCCCAAATTTGGCCTGGAGTGGGGGGGGGAGCCCACTCGGAACAGCAGCTGGGCATCTTCTCCCAAGCCCGAAGCCTCCCATCAGGGCTGGGTGGGAAACGGCTGGGAAGGGGGGCGGCGCGCCACCTGGGCGAGCTGTCACACACCACACAGCTGAGAAAGCATTGCAGGGCTTAAAAAAATATTCTCATATTTGGTGATGTGACCCCCACGTGACCTCTAGGGCCGACTTCTCCCACTTCAGACCAACCCTGGCTGGGGACGGATGAACAACTCAGCTCTGGGCTGGGCTCCTGCTCAGAAGACTAACAGCCCGGTGTTGACAGACTCAAGGGAGACAGGCTTGTTAAAGCTACCAGGATGTGGAATGCCGGGGAAGGTGTGCAAGAGAGGATGGCGGGTAGGCCTCCTCCAGGATCTGAAGACCCTCCTGCAAAGCTCTGGAGTTGGCTGACAGGCTTTACAATCTCCACGAGGACGTGGACAGAAACAGCAGATGGTAGGGCAGATGGAATCGAGGTGTTGACCCCCGGAGACAGGGAAGCCTATAGAACTGGAGCAGGATCCCTGCCTCCCCAGCTCCTCCAGGAGGCAGGGAGGGTCCGCTGAGCTTACCCTGGGGCTGCAGACGGCCCTGCCTTTCTGTGTGCTGGGGCCTGGATTTCTCTGGGGCTGGAGAGATGGGGGGAGGGGAAGGGCAGGACCAGGAGAGGGTGGGTGTGGAGGCCTGTGTGGGGCCACTCCACGCACTCCAGTGAGGTCCCAGATTCCCTCACCTTCTCCTTTGTCACTCTTCTCTCATGCGGGGTGTCTTTGCCGTGCCTTTTCCCCAAGAGATAACAGGCCCGGGCTGGTAGCCAGAATAAGGTGCCAAGCCTGGGATAGAGGGCTTCCAAAGCTGTTGAGGCTGATGTAAGAAAGTCATCCCAGCCCCTCCCCATTCAGCTGGGATCAACAGGGAGCGTTCAAGTAGCAGCCAAGAAAACAGAAGTCGAGCTCTTCACATTCTTGGGTCTGCTGCATTCAGCTCCTTCCTACTCCTCTGTCCCCAACAGGTGTGGTACACCGGGCCCAAGGAGACACCCCTGATCCTGGGAATATGAGCAAGAGATTCCTGCGGGGGTAGGTGGGAGGTCAGTCCCCTCCATGTTGGGGGACTGCCTCCAGAGGGGCCTGGGGCCCTTGTTGGTCCAGTGGAGCGGCCCCTCCTTGGTGATGAGCCTAACCCCAGGCCTCCAAGAGGTCCTGTAGACTCCTGGGAGACAAGCAGCCCCAGAGGGAGCCCCAGAGGCCCACAAGTAATTACAAGCCCAGGTTCCCACAAGCTAGGGAGCTGCCTGTGACCACAGTGGCAAGACCCTAAAGGGGAAGACGGGCTGGCAGTCAGAAGCAGAAAGTCCTAACTGCTTTGGGGGCAAGGGAGGAGGGCTGCTGTGGGTGTTGGCTCCATGGCTGAGGAGGGTTTCCCAGGGCTCCTTGGAAAGGGCCTGAGAAACCCCTCGGTGAGTGAGGGTGCATGCTTGGGGGAGCGGGGCCCCAGCCAGCCTTCCTGGGAGCTCCCCTGTGAGCTGGCCTGTGGTGGACCACACTAATGAGCCCATAACACAGGCCTTTGATTAAGCAGCTCCCAGCACAGCAACTTTATTGAAACATGCCGAGGCCAGCGGCTGGTTCCCACCGCTCGGGTTCCCCGGGCAACAGCGCAAGGGAGGGGCCCTGCCCAGTGCTTCAGCAGCCTGAGGGGCTGCCCAAGGGTGACGGGAGTGGGCCTGGGAGCACAACGCCAGTGGCCCTAGGATAAGGGGCTCTGGGACTGGGGTTGGATTCAGAACTCTGGGGGCGCGGAGGGGCAACATGACATCTGCTGAGTTCTCTGGGGGCCAGGGCTCCTGGGCTGCTGAGAATAGAGATGGTGACCACCGCCTCCTCAGGGTAGGAAGGTATTCCAAGGATGGCAAGACTCCAAGGATAGGTTCAGAGGTGAAGATATAAGATGTAACGAGGGGGGCGGGGATTTCTTCTTGAGTTTGGGAAGACCCTGGTCCCTACTTTCCCAAGAACATGTGCTTGAACCTTCAATACACATAAATGCTATCTGAGGACACTTCTTCTGAGACCTGTGAGCACAGTCACCTACTGGGAATGATGACCTGGGAACTCTCGACTCTCAGGGAATGCTGGGTTCTCCCGCTGGGTCCCCACCTCCCCCTTCCTTGCCAGCTCTGCCCAGGTAACAGGCAGCCCTCCTCCTCTATACAGAGGCAGCCTGGCCTTCCTGGGACATAGCTGGGGCTGGTGTGGAGGCCCCTTCCACTTGTGTGGGGCTAGTTTCGAACATTACAGTAACTACCAACACCACATGGACAGAAATCTAATGTTACCAAGTGGGACTTTTAAAATGTATTTATAACTTTATGGTTCAAAGTAATTTTGTTATGAAACAATGTAATAACGACAGTGGAAAAAGGCAAGATAATTTATGGAACACAATATTCCTAAAGCACTAGCTTCCATTTCTACCTCACTCAGTCTGAGGAGTGTGGTTGGTGTCCTTTGTTTGCTGTTTCTTTTAATTAAGGGTTAGTATGGGGGGGGAGGGGGAAGAGGCCTGAAGGAGGAGAAATTCAGCTGCAAGCTCTCTCTCTCTCTCTCTCTCTCTCACACACACACACACACACACACACGCGCGCGCCCACATTACCAGTAAGTATGCTTCACAGACCCCCCAGACTGGGTTAAACCCACAAAACCAGCATAATTCCCTTCCCCTCTACTATAACTACCCCGCCACACACCACAAACAAGGCACAGTCAATTTCTGGATTAAGGTCAGATCCCCTTTCTTGATACTCCTGAGGGAGGTAAGGTAGAGTGTTCTTCCTCTCACACCTCCAACAAACAAAGAAAAAAGGACGTTGTTCCCCTAATACATCTGGGAGTGTGCTGGACAGGCCAAGTACCCGTTAGAGACCTGGGACAGGGTGGGGGCTGGAAGGAGGCCTGTGGCTCTCAGGCCCGAGCACCCCGCTTGGCAGTGGCTGTGAAGCTGTGCTCCAGCCAGAAGAGCAAAGGAAGGACAAAGTGTTCTGGACAAGCCAGCAGGCTTCTGTGCAGAAAAGCTGGGTTTCCATTAGGAGGAACAGGAGAGCCATGAGATGAAGGCAGTGGGGAGGCTGTCTGCTGAAGCCTGCCCATCCCAGAGTCAGTCCAGGCCACATGCCCATTTTCTAGGAATTCTGGTGGGATTTCCACAGAGCCACTTAAGAGTGGCTTCCATCCTTCCTCCTACCCTGTTGTACCCTCGGTTTCCTGGCTTTTGGTTTACCCAGGGTGCAGAAAGTCTCACATCTCTCAAATCTGGATTTCCATGGCAAACCAGTGGCCAAGGCCTAGAGAGTTATCCCTGGTGTCTCAGGTGATGGGGGGAGAGGCCGGGAAGTGCTCCTAGAGTTGATGGGATAGGCAACAGCATCCACACTCCACATGGCTTCCCATAACCAGCCCCTCTGGAAGGGAGCCACCAAGAGCTGCCAAGGGAGGAAAGGGAGGAGGCGGGTGCGGGAAGAGCCCACGGAAAGAAGGTAGGGAGAAGAAAATGAGCCTTCTCACTTGTAACCAGGGTCCATGGGCTGCATAAGGGTGCTCCTCAGTGGCAAAGGCGCCTTCCACTCCCGTGGAAACGAATGTGATGGCCATGTCACCTGTGATACTTTTATATGTAAAGTGCCGTCCATGCAGGAGCCTGCCCCTGGGGGTGGGAACACAGAGACCGTGAGCAGCAGGCCTGGCCAAGGGACAGGGTGCCTGGCAAATGCCCTCCTGCCTGCCCACCTGCCCACCAACAGGGGACTGTAACCAAACACGTTCATTTCAGCCCCTTCCGAGAGAAGCCTCTCCCAAGTTCTCAACTGTCACTGCTCCAAAGTGCTCAAAGCTAGCAGAGACATTAGATCAGCTTTCAAAGGGCCTGCGGGGGGAGGGGAGGACACCTCCTTTGTGTCCTGGTGAGGAAACTGAGGCCAGAGAGGGCAGTTAGCAACATGCCCAAGGTCATGCCCAGAACTAAGAGCAGGGTCTTGTCCCTTCTGTTTCAAGGGCAGAGGTGAAGTAGTACCTAAACAAATTTGCCAAGCCCCTGGGAGGATGGCATAGTGCCTTCACAGCACAACCCATGTGTTCACGGGAGAGTCTTCCACCTGCTCATGGGCTCTCCCACAAGATTAAAATGGCTAGCCCCAAGGCCACAAGCACACCTCCAAACAGACAAATCAACAACAACAACAATAATAATAAAGGCTGACGCCAAATGGGGTCACTCTGAGGGAGCCAAAAGAAGTTACTGTTAATTCCCAGTCTGGAAATACACCTGGGGGAAGGGCAGGCAGGGACAACCAGTGAGGCAGAGATGCCAGTCAGCAAAGGAAGCCCAGCCTGCCGTTTGCTTTCCCAGGCTGCCTCAGATTAACCCTTCACAGGTCTAAAGGTCCTGAGCTTGAGCCAGAGGGAGGTGGGGAGGAAATGGCTGGGGTCCTGTTGCGGGGGGAGCCTTGCCAGCCCCTGTTCATTCTGACCACTTGCTATCTTTGCCCTGCTGTCCAGGGTGGCTGGCCAAGGCTGGTTAGCATCCAAACTCCTTTCTCAGGCTCTGGGGACAGTGGGGAGGGACCAAACCAGGGCAACCCCCTTCTTCCTTGTCACTGTTGTCTGAGTTGAGAGTTATTCTGGTCACCTCCCTGCTATAAAAGTGAGCGTGGAAACCCCAAGGGCTCTGCAAGAAGCCAGCTGAGCAGATTCAGCCCAGGGCAGCATCCCCAAGCAGAGCGCTGAATTCTGGCCACAGGGCTGGGTTTCTGGCACTGTGGACAGCAGCGGAAAGGACACAGCTGGGCTTCTCGGTCCCTCAAGGAGTCTGTTGTGCTGGCCACTGGGTTTGGAGAACTGAGTGTTTTGCATGGGAAAAGCAACAAGCGGAAGAAAATAGAGTCCAACCCCCCAGAGCCTCTGCCCTGCTACCCAGTGCGACTGACTCTGGGTTTGTGGGATGGCAGGGGCGTCTGAGTTTGCCAGGCGGCTGAAACTTCCTAAGGGAGCAGGGCTGAGGGACACCTCTCTGGACAAAGGAATGTCCTTCAGCCCAGTGGGGGCTACAGGCTGGCTCAGAGTCCACAGCCCGCCCCCCCCCCAGGCCCAAGAGGGCACTGCCTTACAGGCTCTCCTCTCTCCCCGAGGGCCCCCGACTCCGCCCAGGTGTGGGGGAGAAGGCAAGCATAGGCCTGGCAGCTCCTTGAGGACAAGCCGTGTGCCATGGGGCTCACCTTAGGCAGAGGGGAATGAGAGCCCCTGACTCCTGGTTGAATTTCAGATGCACACTCTCCAGCTGTCGTGTGCGGATCAGCTCGTGGGGAATGATGGCCGTGGAGCTGTCACTTTCCAGGCTGTCTTTGCGGCTCCTGCAAGGCAAGCACAGGAGGAGGTTCAGCACAAGGTAAATACCATGGGGAGGAGCAAGACGGGAGTCTGTCAGGCTGGCCTCCTGAATAACGACAATGACGGTGACTGACGACAGTGACAATAGCAGCCACCATTCACCGTGTGCTCGCCGAACGCCAGCTGCTGGGCAAAGCACTTCTCACGGACGACTCTTCTCCACATCCCCATGCGGTGGGTACTACTCCAGGTACTGTTACATCCCTCTTATGGATAAGGAATCGGGGATCAGAGAGGTTAAGTAACTTGTCCACGTCACCCTGTCGGGGAGTACGGAGCTGGGATTTGATCGCAGTTAGATCGGGTTCTAAAGCCTCATCTTTGGCCAACACACCATATAAAAGTTTATGTCACAGTGGCTTGGTCTTCCCTACATAGCAGCAAGAGCATCTGGGAGCCCTTCTTCCCCTGCCCTGGAGCCTCAGGTCCCAAGTTCCCCAAAGCTGGAGTGCTAGAGTCCCAGGAGGTACAGCTCCAAGAGCTTCCTTCCAGCTGAAAAGGCTGTGACTTTCTGCAGGCTCTGAGCATGCACGCTCCCGCTAACGGCCAGGAGCTGCCGTGACATATTCATCCTTCATTTGACCAGGAAATGATACAATCCTCAGCGAGGGGGCGGAAACCAGACTCTCAGGAGTCAGACTAGTGGGCCTGGCTGGGCAGCAGAACCAGGCCACCATCCTGCTGGGTTTTGAGGCCCCAGGAGCCCTGTTCCAGATTCCTCCTGGCTGTGGCCTTGGCCATAGTGAACTGTCACTGCTGCCTCACGCTCCCTCCTGTCCTGCTTCCCACCAACAGCTCATCCCACAGCTGGGCCATGGGGTCCCTTTGCAATCTAAGATATGCTCTTTCAAATTCAGCTGCCCCTCCTGAGAGCCTCTCAAATCTGCCTCAGCCGGAAATGAGGGTTACCCACTGATCCTATTCAAAAGGCCGGATCCTGGTTTGGGCTGTGAATCTCAGAACAATTCCCCAAGTGTCCATCAAAATGCTGGGTGAGAAGCTCTAGTTATTTATCATTCAAGAGGCAGGAGCCATCCAGGATGTCTAGGCTCACAGTCAGACAGCCAGGGAGGGGCAGGCCCAACCTCCTCACATGCTGGGGGGCTGAGTGCTGGGGCCTGTGGCCATTGAGGCACCCCAACAGGCAGAGAACCTCCCCAGAGGGAGGGTGTGGGGTCAGCAGGCAAAAGGATGGAGGGTGGCATCAGAGAGCCCAGGGGCCCGCCAAGGCAGAGGTTTCTAGGAGCCCCTGAGGTAATGGGGACCATTCCTACCAGCTGTGTGGATCTACCCCAGATGTAACGGCTCTTTCACAAAGTGGTGTCTTCCTCTGGTTTCCCAAAGCGAATTCTGAAACTGCTCTTTGCCCTAGCTTCTCCTTTGACAAACCCTTTCACAAGACCTGCGAAGGAGACAAATGCTATGGCCAAGAGGGTCACAGAAGTTCAAAACTGGAAGGAAACTCTGAGGTGGTTTAATCTACTTCTTCCCTTTACAAAGGGGAGCCCGTGACGGGTCCAAGGCCACAGAGCTGGTCTGTGGCAGGCCAGCGTGGGAGCCGAGGACCTCTGACTAGACCTCCTTCCCTTACACTCTGGCTGCTAGGCCTCCCTTCTGAGGAGGGAAACACTGACCATCAGCGCTCGGTGGGTGCCCTCAGGGCCCAGACAAGAGCAGAACTCAGGATGCTGACAGCAGCCCTTCTCTGCTCCAGAGCAAGGAGTCGGTAGACTCACTGGCTGAGTCCTCACAGCGAGCACCCCATGTATATTCTACGGTTAATCCTTCTCTCCCAGGTGAGGAAATGGAGGCTCAGAGAGGTGAGGTGGCAAGCCTGAGTGAGGTGGCAAGTCAGAGTGAGTCTAAGGGGAAGAGCCAATCACCTCCCCGTGCCATCTCTGACAAGGCCCGCACAGAGACCTGCCACCATGTGCCCGAAGGGGCCTGCAGCCAGGCTGTGGGGCGGGGCCTCAGAGCCCGTGGGGCCCGCTAGAGGATGGCTGCCTCTCGGGCATCAGCAAAAATGCTGATGAATAGCAACTGGGGTGAGGGTGTGGGGCTGGAAGAGAAGAATCAACAGCACACAGGGCTAGAGACATCTCACGCTGGAGGGAAAAATAAATTGTTGAAAGTCAGCTAAAGTCACCTTGGTAACTGCTACAACACACTCACCCAGAATGAGGACATCAAACCCAACTGCAAACAGCTTTAAAGAAATGGAAAAGAACTTAATCATCTGAAGAATTAATGTGACAAGTGCCCACATTTACACCTCCCACCAACCTTCAATCATTTGAAAACGTACTTTAATCTTTTAAGAGAAAAAAAAAATTGCAAAATGCTAGATCTGCAATCCTGGAGCTTGGGTATTTCCGGCATGCTGCTTCAATGGAAACAAGGCTGCTACACACACACACACACACACACACACACACGCACGCATGAGCCCAGCTTTCTGCTGATTTGTTTTTTCTGGACATCGATGCAGAAGCATGAATTATTTGTGTGGGCTGGGTGAGGTATTAAATCTGCAGCCGACACAGGTTTGCAATGTTTTGCATGGTTGTCAGCTTAATCTTAGTCATAAAAAAATAAGTACTGTGCTCGCCAGCGTGGCCTAATTTTTCAGCTGGGCTGCTTTCTCCTCGAGTTCCCAGTGGAGGAGAAGGCAGAGCTTCAGGGGGCTGGAAGGGAGAAGGGCTCCCAGGGAAGCAGGCCCTACACCCACTGGGGACTGCTAGGGATACGGGGCTGGGGGAGGAAAGATGAGCTATTGTTCCAGGTGGCAGAATGGCTAACACGTATGTTCTGGGTTCGAGTCTCACATGAGCTCAGGCAAATGACTTACCCTCTCTCTAAGCATCAGTATCCTCTTGATGGGAATAGAAAATAATACCCTATCGTTATAAGGATTAAACCAGATTACCCACATGAAGCATCTAACGGTGCCTGGGGATGTAGTAGGTGCTCAAAATATATCTGGAATGCATTAACAGGATGTTAGGTGGCTGCCTCTAGAAGTCGATCTGCTCTTCCTGCAAGAATGTTGATAGCTTAATAGGGAATTATTTGCCTTTACCGACTGCCTCTGGCCAAGTCAGTCCCCACTTCTGAGCAAAGGTCCTTGCCCTGAGCTTGGGAGACAGGACTTCTGAGATGGGGCCTGAACGGCTCCTGACTCCCTGCACAGATACTACGGGCCCTGGTCAACCACTGGGCCTCTGGGAAGGCACAACTACAGGCCAACAAAAACCCCTGAGGCTTTTGTTCTGCTGAGGGAGGTTCTGGCAGGGCCATCTTCCCTCTACAGAGCACAGTGGTCTTCTTGCAATTCTTGTCTGCCGAACCTCAAGCTGCCCAGAGTGGTTTAATCCCTCCTCCCATGACAGCCTTCAAATCCCTGAGACTGCTCTCACAGACCATCATCAGTTTCTCTTTTCCAGTATCCGTGGCCCCAACTTTCAAATATATTCCTAGGACATGGTTCTGAAATCTTCCAGCCATCCAAGTCACTCCCGCTTGCGTTTACTCTAGCTGGTGAAAGCCAGAGTGTCAGGTCCAGAAGTGAAGTGCCGTGTGTGGAAATAAATACAGCATGTGGTCTAATCAGTGCAGCTCAAAGAGGGACTATGAGCTTTCTTATTTGGGAAACCTTATTTCTATTAAAACTGTCATCAAATTGTCTATTCTGTGTAACCCCGTCATGCTAACGGCACACTCTCTGTCAACGACATCTCCCTCGGGCTCTCTCCCGTGGCCTGCGCTTGGACCTCTTCTCCCCCATCTCATATGCACTGGGGATTCACTGGAGCTGAGAGCCCAGCTCTGCATTATCTGGCTACTGTTTGAGGCAGTCCAGGTATTTCTGAAACCTGGGGCAGGCATCCATCAGACCGGCATTCCTCCCCTGACTTCATATCCCTGACAAAACTGTTAAGCTTACCATCAATGTTCTCATCCCAGGCTTTGATTAAACAGTGAACAGGGTAGGGCCAGGCAGACAGGCTGACAGACTGACATCATTACTCTTTGGGTATGCTCATCCAACCAGTTATAAATCAACCCAAACATCCCATCACCAAGCCCTTCACCTTCCTGGATGCTCTGTGGACATGTCTCTGTCTTGCCAACAATGATGTCAGAAGACATTCTGAAAATGTCTTGCTAAACCCTAAAGTTTATAGCACTTCCTTTGTCTACCAGGTTGAAATAGGTAACTATTTCTTTTTCGTTTTTTAAGGTAAATTTTTTAAAAGTTTTTATTTATTCATTTAAGTAATCTCTACACCCAATGTGGGCCTCGAACTCACGACCTCGAGATCAAGAGTCTCATGCTCCTCCAACTAAGCCAGTTAGGTGACCTGGTAACTATTTCTAAAAATAGATGAGAATGGTCTGGCAGGCCTGATTCTTCGTGAATCCATGCTGACTCTCAGGGCTCACTGTTCCTCTTAAAACAGTGTTCACAGCCTGCCTGCTGAATAATCTAGTCCAGAATTTTCCCTGAGAGTTGACACCATGCTCACTAGTTTGGAGAGTGCAAGATGGTTTTTGCATTTTGAAACTTTTGAGTGCTTTCAGTCTGCCAACACCTCTCTCGTAATTACTCCCTCAAAGATTATGGACACTGGCTTCATAAATCTCATTTGCCAACTCTCTGGGTGTTCTGGGGCACAATACATGTGGACCAGGTGACCTGATCCATGAAGTCATAGCTTCAGTCTTCTCATCAATGCCTGTATGACTCTTCCTACTCTGATAACCATCCTTTTTGAGATGGAAGCATAACAGAACTTGGGTAAATTTTGCTTTCTCTCTGTCACTGAGTAAAGTTACTCTGTCCAAACAATGGGGCCCATGTTTTCTTCTTCTTGTTCCAAACAGAAGTACAAAAAATAAAGTCCTTTTTGCTGGTCATAGCACTTTTTTGCAACACTCAGTTCTTGAGTTGCAGCTTTTCTTG